ACATATACTCTCACACACACTCACATTCACACACTGATGAACATACATACTCAGACACACTCACATTCACTCACACTCACACGCATTCACACATATACTAAGACTCGTATATGCACTCACACAGTGGGACATACATCCATCTCAGACACATATTCTCACACTGATACGCACTGATACACACTCACACACATACTCACATGGATACAACCGTGCTGATACGCATACACTCAAACATACAGCCACACATTCCCGTTCTCAGACACACAACACACATACCCATGCACTCATACACACACTCATAGACTCACACACAGACTCACACATACACACATTCACACACACTCCCAGGCTCACATGCACTCAATCACACACACTCCTTGACTCACACACTCACACCCACGCTCTCACACACAGAGACACACTGACAGACTCAGCCACACCCACACACAGACTCCCCCATACGCTTATAATCACACGTACCCTTCACACACACCCTCACCAGCCCACAGACTCACACTCACCTACACTCAGAGGCTCACAGATCCCCCCACATGCACACAGACTCACACACACACACACACACACACACATCCTCGCACACAGACTCCCCCCAGACACACGCATACACCCCTCTGTTTATGCAAACACACTTTTCACGCACACTCACGGACATACAGATTCACACATACACCCCACATCAATGCACACACTCACGGACACACATATTCACACGTACACCCCACATCAATGCACACACTCACACACACTCACAGACACATAGATTCACTCGCATAGACTCACATATATGCTCCCCCATTCACGCAGACACACTCACCACAGACTCTCGTGTACACGCCTCCTTCACACACTCCCTCACACACTCACACACAGACTCAGCCACACACACCAACATGTGGGTTGGCGGCCCGGGCTCTCTCTGTCCCTTCTGAGGAATCCAGGACTGCAGGTGGCTCCTGGCTCGGGGCTCGGCCGGGGTCGGGGCTCCGGGTGGCAGCTCCTTTCTCAGGGATGGACAAGCCCCGACCCCTTCCTGCCCTACGGTGCTGGGTGCTGGGGTGGGCATCTCAGTCCCTGGCATCCTGAGATTCCCCTCTGGGTTCGTGCTGCTCGAGCCAGGTCCGTCCACTTCCCGGCCCCCGGCCCCCACTCCCCCACATGCCGTCTCTCCCTTTCTTCCTTTGGCTCATCGGAAAATGTCTGGAGCCGCCCCTGCCTCGGACCCCAGGGGTCTCCCGACTCCGGCTGGATTAGTCCGTACAAATGGGATGAACCTGATTTTTTTTTTCCTGATCAAAGCAAAACTCTTTTGAAGTTTAGCTATTTGATAGAAAGTGACTTTCATAGCAAACTGAGAGATGAGCTAATAGAACATAAAGATATTTTATTAAACTGCAAACCATTATTAATACTGCAGCTTGAACTTGAAAGAAACACGTGGAATGACACCGGAAATTAATTAGATTATTTCATCATTCTTTTCCGTTGCACATTTTGATACACTTGCCTAGATATATAGGTACCTTGATAAAAAGACACAAAGACAAACAGAATTTTAATGAGTGGAGAGCTTTTATCTACTAACACTTTGTGACTTAATTTTTTCTGTTTATTCTGCCTATTGATTCCAGTTGAAACCTGCTGTTTTAATGTTGTTATTGATATTCTCTCTGGGTTTTCTTCTAATTCTGGCATTGATATTACCTTGATCGGATTTAGTTTATTTGAATTGCCTGTGGGTTTCGGTCTCCGGCGTTTTCCACTGCTTATACACATGCAACGATAAACCCTCTCTTTTTATCTGAAATCCTTGAGAGACGAGGCTGGGCGGTTCTGAGAACACTAGAAAGCGAGGCAGCAATCAAAAGGAACGGCTCTCGCCCGTGCACGCCCCTCGGCCGTGCCCCCGTGACCGCTCGGCATCTGTGGGGCAGCTGCGATGCCCGCCTGGCAGACTGGCCCCAGCGCCCTGAGCGAGAAAGTGGGAGGTGGCTGGAGTTGTGCATGTGAGGCTGGGCCTGACCAGGCCTGTGTCCTCCCTAAAGAACTCACAGCAGGGTGGTCAATAGGAGCCAAAGGGGATGCTGGGGCTAAAGGTCAAACAGGGGCAAAGGTCAAGGGCCCAGGGTTCAACCGACTGTGCACTTTCTGCACAGCCTGGAGCAAAGTCTGTCTCTTCAGACAGGTCTGTGGGTGCCAGCAGGAGCCTGGAGGGGCACCAGGGTTGAGGATCCCAGCAGGGACCTGGAGGGTCACCAGGGCCGAGGGTCCCAGCAGGAGCCTGGAGGGGCACCAGGGTTGAGGGTCCCAGCGGGGGCCTGGAGGGGCACTAGGGCCAAGGGTCACAGTGCGAGCCTGGACGGGCACCAGGCAGCAGGTACCGGCAGCCTTTCCCTAGGGGACGCTTCATTTCTGGCTGCCCACAGAGGGCCAGAGCTGGGGGTTTGAGCCCAGGGTGCCGGGCCGGCTCTCTGGGGTGGCCGCCTTGTTCCCGGGGTCCTCCCCGAGCTTCCGGGGATCCAGTGCTCTGCGCCATTCCTCCAGGCCAGGCTCTCCCAGGCTTTCCCCAGCCGACACGGACACGGGAACGCACAGAGTTGTGATGCTGAGACGGGCTTGTCAGGGGTCTCCCCACACTTGCCTTATCCAGATGCTCGGGGGCCCCCAAGGTGCCAGGGACAGATGGGCCTCAACAGGCTCCAGCCCTCGAGCCTTCCCCAGTTCCCAGGGGACCCCAGAGCCATGCCCAGGATGCCCAGAGCCCCCCTGCGCTGGGGTCGTGTGAGCTGAGACCCAGGGCTGCAGGGCCCAGCCTGCCGCCCCCGAAGCCTCTCAGCAGGATTGGAAAGCAGGGGTTGTCCTGCTCTCCTCCCTGCGAGGAAACTGAGGCCGAGGGTGGCCTTGTTCCTGCATGTTGGCTCTGACCGAGGACCCGAGGGGTGAGCACAGCTGGGGAGTATGTCAGAGGGTGGTGACATACCCCATGTGCGCCCTTGCCCGGGAGGCGTGTGCTGGAGGCTGGCGAGGAGAGCAGGTGTGAGTGTGCGGGTGTGCGAGTGCCCACTGGAATTTGCCCACACACCTGAGCACGTGGGTGCTGTACGTGAGCTGTGTGTGACCGCGTGCACATGAGGCCAGACTGCTGTGTGAAAGTGTGTGCACCCTTGTGTGTGTCCATGTGAGTGTAGTTGTGCATGTGCATTGTGTTCTGCATGGCTAGTGTGTGTGCAGGTGCTGATGTGTGCATGTTTGAAACTATGCGTGTGATTATTTATGTACTATTGTGTGCATGTGTATCTGTGTACTGTGAAATGGTGTGTGTGTGTCTGTTCTGTGCTGAATGTGTGCATGTGCTGATGTGCATCTGTGCGTGTATGTGATAGCATGTGTGTAATTGCGTAAGTATGTACTGATGCATGCACGCATGCATCTGTACACGTATCTGCACAACGGGTCTGTTGGGGAAAATAGTTCCCCAACATGTGCTAGAATGAACATGTGTGCAATGGCGTGCATACTGATGCAAGTGCATGTACGTCTGTACATGTGTGTACTGATATGTATGTGCTGAGATGTGTGCATGTGTGTGCTGACGTGCATGTATGTGGTGAGATGTGGGCATGTGTGTGCTGATGTATGTGCTGAGGCATGTGCATTTGTCTCTGCATGCCTATGTCTTTGCTGGTGTGTACGTGTCTGTCTGCATGTGCACCTATCTATACATTGTGTGTGCTGTGTGCATGTATGATCTCTGCAGTGTGATATGTGTACTTGCACAGATATGTTGTGTATGCATGTATCTCTGCGTTGCACGATGATGTGTGCATCGTGAGCTATGTGTGCACATGTATCTGTGCATGTGTGTACTTACACAGTGTGCACACGTATCTGCATATGTAAGTGCATGTGTGCACACGTTAGCCCCTCGCTAATGACAAGCCCATAAAGTTATAAATCGATTGTAGAGATTTCCCTGATCTATGATGGAGTTATGCCCTAATAAATCCATCTCTCGCACTGTCACACTGTCCTCCCATTATTCATCAATTTGCTCCAGCGGGCACCAGTAACATCTTTATTGTGAGATTTGTTGTTACTGTTTTGGGCATAGCGAATATGCCACGGGGAGCTTGTCAGGCTGTGCCATGCAGGCGGGATATTCTGGGTAGCTTGCTGGACTCTCCTAGAGGGAAGAGGAATCAAACCCAGGTCGGCCGTGTGCAAGACAAACACCCAACCCGTTGTGCTATCACTCCAGCCCAGAATATACATTAAGGTAAAGGTAAAGGCCCTCCCGTTGATCGTCGATTTGCTCGAGCGGGCCCAGTAACGTCTCCATTGGAGACTTTGTTGTTACTGTGTCTGGCATATCGAATACTCTCGGTAGCTTGCCGGGCTCTCCGAGAGGGGCGGAGGAATCGAACTCGGGTCGGCCATGTTGGCTGCGTGCAAGGCAGATGCCCTACCCGCTGTGCTATCGCTCCAGCCCCTAAAAATTTTTGGTCATACCCGGCGGTGCACAGTGGTTACTCCTGGCTCTGCACTCAGGAACCACTCCTGGCGGTGCTGGGGGACCCTATGGGGTGCTGGGAATCGAACTCGCGTCGGCCGCGTGCGAGGCAAACGCCCTCCCCGCATTATGAGATAAAAATATTTTTTAAAAACTTTAATTTGGAGCTGGCAGACTATCAAAAGTATCCTGCCCACACGGCAGAGTCTGGCAAACTCCCTGTGGTATATTCAGTCACAGTCACAATCCTCCCGTTGTTCATCGATTTGCTCGAGCGGGCCCAGTAACATCTCCATTGGAGACTTTGTTGTTACTGTGTCTGGCATATCGAATACATCACGGGGAGCTTGCCAGGCTCTGCCGTGGTGCGGGCCAGATACTCTCGGTAGCTTGCCGGGCTCTCCGAGAGGGGCAGAGGAATCGAACTCAGGTCGGCCATGTTGTCCACTTGTAAGGCGAACGCCCTACCGCTGTGCTCGCTTCGGCAGCACATATACTAAAATTGGAACGATACAGAGAAGATTAGCATGGCCCCTGCGCAGTGGTATATTCAATACGCCAAAAACCGGTAGCAATGATGGGTCTCATTCTCTTGACCCTGAAAGAGACTCGAATGTGGCACTTTCTAAAATCTCAGGGCTAGGACGAAGGAGACGTTACTGGTGCCTGCTCGAGGAAATCGATGAACGACAGGATGACAGTGTTACAGTGACAGTGTGCATACATGTATTTCTGCATGTGCACAGCAATGTTTGTAAGTGGATGTGTGCCCATATGCATCCCTACATGTGTATGTGTACATGTGCATACATGTACCTCCTGATGTGAACACATGTATCTCTGTATACATGTATCTCTCTGCATATGTGTGCACCTGTGCATATGTGTATGCGCACGCCATGTGCACATGTGCCCCTCTGCATGTGTGTGCTGTTTGACTAGAGGAGATGTCTCCGGGCAGCACACAGGTCAGTAGGAGTCCGAGGAACACAGTGGGAGACGGGGCCCTGGGGGCTGCCCTGACTGCTCTGGACCCCCGTGTCCCCTTCAAGTGGGTTCAGCTTCCCTGGATGCCTTCTCATTCCGGAGCCTCCCTCGGTCGGGTCCCAGTGTCCATGGGCCCCCAGTTTCTGTGACCTTGGGGCCGTGGTGGGTGTGGTGTACCCCAGCTTCACTGGAGGCTCGGCACGTCCCCCGCACGCTGACCTGTGAAGTGGTGTGGAGGCCCAAGGCGTCTGCACGCCCTGGTTCTTTGCTCCTGCGGATTTTGATTTCATGACGCTGAGAGGAGCCGCCTTCTGTGTGTGTGCGTATCGCTCCGCCTTGAACCCGGAGCCCTGGGCTGGGGCTCGGCCCTCAGGCTCTCGCCCTCCCCCTCCCCGGCAGGGCCTGTGGCTGCCTCATGGGGGCTTGGGGGAGCACAGGAAGAAGGCCTGGGGGGGATGGCCAGGCGACCACTCCCCGACCCGGGCAGGGGACCCCACCTGAGACAGAAGTCTCCTTTGCTCTTTGAGGGGCACACACCTGGCCAGTTGGCAGCCCACCTGGGCCCCCTTCCTGCCTGGGTGGCAGGTGATCCAGGCTGACTGCTCTCCAGTGCCAGCTGTGCCCCTTGAGGTGCCCTGCCTGGGCGCGGCCAGGGCAGGGAGCTCAGAAGGAGCCACCACTAAGATGTGACTGGCGCCAGGTGCCTGCTCGGAGACAGACACTGAAGTGGCAGGGGCGGGAGTGGAGCTTTCCAGGCTGGGCATGGCCACCCGCACAGGGTCAGTGTGCAGGACAAGGCCCTTTGCCGGCCACCAGGGAGCCAAGGTCGCTGACACAGACAGCCAAGTCCAGCAAAGAGCTCTGAGACATGGCACGAGGGACTCAGAAGAGACCATTAGCTCAGGGAAGGTGGACAGGGGTCAGCTCTGGAAGCTGGACAGGGGTTAGCCCTGGAGGGTGAACAAGGGTTGGCTCTGGAAGGTGGACAGCGGTCGACTCTGGAGGGTGGACAGGGGTCAGTTCTGGAGGGTGGACAGGGGTCGGCTCTGGAAGGTGGACAGGGGTCAGCTCTGGAGGGTGGACAGGGGTTGGCCCTGGAGGGTGGACAGGGGTTGGCTCTAGAGGGTAGACAGGTCGATTCTGTAGGGTGGACAGGGGTCAGCTCTGGAAGGTGGACAGGGGTCGGCTCTGAAGGTGGACAGGGGTTGGCTCTCAAGGTGGACAGGGGTCAGCTCTGGGAGCTGGACAGGGGTCAGCCCTGGAGGGTGAACAAGGGTTGGCTCTGGAAGGTGGACAGCGGTCGACTCTGGAGGGTAGACAGGGGTCAGCTCTGGAGGGTGGACAGGGGTCGGTTCTGGAAGGTGGACAGGGGTCGGCTCTGGAAGGTGGACAGGGGTCAGCTCTGGGGGGTGGACAGGGGTTGGCTCTGGAAGGTGGACAGCGGTCGACTCTGGAGGGTAGACAGGGGTCAGTTCTGGAGGGTGGACAGGGGTCGGCTCTGGAAAGTGGACAGGGGTCAGCTCTGGAGGGTGGACAGGGGTTGGCCCTGGAGGGTGGACAGGGGTTGGCTCTAGAGGGTAGACAGGTCGATTCTGTAGGGTGGACAGGGGTCAGCTCTGGAAGGTGGACAGGGGTCGGCTCTGAAGGTGGACAGGGGTTGGCTCTCAAGGTGGACAGGGGTCAGCTCTGGGAGCTGGACAGGGGTCAGCCCTGGAGGGTGAACAAGGGTTGGCTCTGGAAGGTGGACAGCGGTCGACTCTGGAGGGTAGACAGGGGTCAGCTCTGGAGGGTGGACAGGGGTCGGTTCTGGAAGGTGGACAGGGGTCGGCTCTGGAAGGTGGACAGGGGTCAGCTCTGAGGGGTGGACAGGGGTTGGCCCTGGAGGGTGGACAGGGGTTGGCTCTAGAAGGTAGACAGGTCGATTCTGTAGGGTGGACAGGGGTCAGCTCTGGAAGGTGGACATGGGCCAGCCCTGGAGGGTGGACGGGAATTGTGTGGGTGAGGAGTGGGTATAGTCACGGGGGAAGGTGAAAAGTATAGGAGCAGGAACTGGGGTCAGTCCACAGTCCTGGGGTTCAAATGGCCCAGAAAGCATGTGGCCATTGGCAGGGTCGCAGGGGGTCTAAGGTCACCAACACAGGAACACAAGGGAGTATGGTGCAGGGCCAGCCCGGTGCTCAGGCCCCATGCCTGTCTTCCCTCAGCAGCCCTGAGTCAATGCCTCTCCCAGCCTCCAGCGCTGGGGGACAGTCGCTTCCTGGGAAAAGACATGACCATGCCACAGGGCGCAGCCAACACTCTGCAACCCTCATCACCAGGGAGGGGCAGGTTAGAACAGCTAGGAGTGTCCTCTCACCGGTGATCAGCACACAGCACAAGGAACAGAAACAGCCAGTGTTGGTGTCGATGTGGGGGAAAGGGATCTCAGTCATTGCTGTGGGAACGTCAGTTGGTCAAGCCTCTTTGGAAAGAAATATGGAAATCTCATAAAAATAGTAATTGAGCTTCTATAGGATTCATCAGATCCAGTTCTTGGCATCAATCCCAATGGCATGGAAAACTCCATATTGAAAAGTCATCTACACACCTATGTTCATTGCAGCATGATTCGCAATAGCTGTAACCTGAAAACAGCCCAGTGCCGAAGAACAATGAGTGGATAAAGAAGCTATGGTACATCTACAAAATGGAATACAACGCAGCCCTGAAGAAAGATGAAGTCTTACCATTTATTAATGCATGAGTGGAGCATGAGGAGTGAGGTTAGGGAGAGGGAGAGGTCAGTAGGGAATGACCTCTCCTATGTGGGAGAGAAAGGAATAGAGGGTGAGGGAAGGGGAAAATTAATTTCCAAAGGCAACAGCCCTGAGAACACAGAGCTGAGATGACTGTGGGAAAGGGGAGGGATTCAGTGACCAAGGTGGAGGGAAGAAGCCAGCGGTGGGGGAGGGGCTGGGATGTTGGAAGCCTAAAATACCACCGTGAGAAATGCCACAATGCATGGAGCCCTTCTAACATAACTAAAGCATGCTTGACCCAAACTAAAACATTTCTGTGTAAACGTAAATTGTCATTATTCAAAAACTGCTCTGAATACTGTGCTTCCCCACCCACACGCTCCTAAACTAGAGCCCCCATTCTGGTCCCACATCATACTGTTCCCATCCAGGATTGGGTCACGTCCTCAAACTGTTTCCATTCCACACTGACCCCTGCCCACACACTCTCCCGTCCACACACTGTCCCTCAGTCTTCCACTCCCCAAAGGTTCTCTGTGTCCACCAAGGTTCTTCCTCCTCTTCTTCCTCCTCTTCTTCCTCCTCCTCCTCTTCTTCCTCTGCCTCCAAGCCCCTGTGCTGTGTCCCTCTCCCCCGGGAGCCCCGTGCCTGAGGTGGCCAGCAGGGACATTTGTCGCTGGAGCGGCTGTGAACCTCCGGGCCAGGGGCAGGATTCAGGGTCTTCCTGCCTTTCCCTTCAGGCGCTGCCCGCATCATCTGACCCAGGGGCCTCTTCCATGCCCACAGCTCAGCCCATTCCTCCTTGTGAGCCGAGCGCAGCAGACAAGAGGCAGAGAGAGTCCACAGCCAGGTGCAAGAGACGGGATGGGCTCCGTGGCACCCCCACACCCGGCAGGGCTGAGCCCTGGGTGCATGCACACTGACTGAGCAGCTTGAAGTTCAGTCATGGCAGCAGCCGGTTCCGGTGTTGAGTGCTCCCCTCGGACCTGGTGCTCCCCATGCTCGCACAGACCCCTGCCCTGCGTGGGCCCCTGCTCCTCCCTGCTGGGCTCCTGGTGTCCCCAGGCGGCTGCGTCCGCATCCCCCCAACTTCCCTCTACCTCCTCCTACAAGGCCTTTTCCACCCCAAGCATCAACGGACCTTTTCCTTCCTCTCCAGCACCCTCTGCACCCAGGGGGCACTGCTGACAGACTCGCAGGGCTGGGCATCCTGAGGGGCTTCTTGGCCAGAGGTGGGGACCGAGGCCCACCCTCCCTGACCCCCGCCGCCCCCCTCCAGGCGCTCCACCCTTCCTCCCAGGAGCCACTCCTCTGGGTCCAGGCCTCGGTAACGTGGGTGCCAGCGCCCGGCCAGTTTGCCGACCTGCTTTGACGGGACCTGCTGGCAGGATCGTGTCCTTCCTGGTGGCCCAGCCGCTGAGGGCGCTGGGTGCCCACAGGCCTGCCGATGTCAGTGGGAGCTGGGCGGGCTCCCTGGGAGGGTGCCGGGAACTTGTTTTCTTGCATTTTTCATGGCGCCCTTTGTCCCGCCGCATGCCCACAGGGACACCGTGCCCGCTTGGCACCGCCTCTGTGTCTATCTAGAACATCAACATTCTGGGGGCTCCGTGCGTGGGGAGAGGCGCTGAGCCGCAGCCGCCCAGTCCCAGGGCCCCTCCTGCCCCCAGTGCTGAGAGGCTCCGAGAAGCACCTGCACCTTGCTGGTTTCCGGGGACTCTGTGCTTCCTGAGAGCTGCAGGCATAAGGCTGGAGACAGGGGTCGCTTCCCGAAAGCCAGCTGTGCCCCTGCCCTGGCCCGGGTTGGGGGGAGCAGGCCCCGGGCGCAGGGGTGAGGCCGGTGTCGTCTCCGCAGGCC